GGCAGTATGCACAAATTTGAAATGTGTGAATTCTTTTTTTGTTGGCGAACCATTTATTTTACTTTTTCAGTCTATGGATTTTCGTGATCGTCTAACCAAGCTAGATCTCCTCTATACTTTCATGAATAGTGTGACGGTAGAACAAATAAAAATTTTAGTCTCTCCAGGATGAGAAAAAAATTAGTCATTACATACGAATTTAAGAATTTTTTGGATCGTACAATTTGTAAAGCCCCAACATTTATAGACTATGGCTTCTCACTTGAGGTTTGAGCATGGCAAAACCATGAAAATTCAGTCGGGTAATTTGCACTTAGCTCCCTAAAATTATTAAATTTGTCAATTAAGTTCCCAGTCGTAACAAACAGTAATTAAATGGCCCCTGGACCAACAATTACTGAACTGCCTGTCATTTTGTTGGTCATAGGAAGCATCGAACCGTCCATTGTGGAGGAAGCTTACGTCACTCTACAAATGGAAGTAATTTTGAAGTAACTTAAGTCTGATTGATTATCAAGTAAGCTAAATGATTATATATATTTAAAAAAAAAAAAAAGTTGAACCCTAACCTTGAGGGCTCCTACCACGCTACTTCTAGAGCTTTGTGAGGGAGATAAATCGTGGGATGTGTCCCAACAGACCAGGTAACAAGAGCCGTCTGTACACTGCACCTACAAGGAGTTCAATTCCACGTCTCATGAATCGAACCCCACATTGCGACTGTCAGCAAGGTGTGAGATAACCTCACTCCTGTCCTTTACACCACTAGGCTATGCCCCGGAGGGCGATTATATATATTTACTCAATCCTTGTATGACTAAACAAATAAAAAGATAAAAAAAAAAAAAACAATGTTAAACATATAGGGTCTGTTTGATTGCAAAGATAAAATTGAATTAAATTGAAAACAAATTTCAGGGAATTGAATTATCTAGAAATTATTCTCCTAAAAATTGTAAATTAATTGTGTTTGATTGGTGTAATTTTTCAAGTGAAAAATGTTGAAATAAAAGTGTCTTTTAGAGTTTGTTTTGCTTTGTTTTACATGAAATTTGTCAATTAAAGGGATATATTTTACTGATATTGGGGATGAAATTTGTTTCCATTGCAAAAAAAACTTGGTACAATCATACAGGGCGCAATTCATAAATTACGGTCAATAATTCATGGGTAAACATATTTTTTATAATTAAATTATATTTTAATTGTATGAAAGATTTATAATTTTTATATATTATCACATTTATATTTCAAAATTTTAATAATTAAATTACACTTTAATTGTATAAAAAGGTTTATAATCTCTACATATTATTGCATTTATATCTCAAATTTTTTCATCGTATTCTTTTTCTTAATTTAACATAAATTGTTCCTGATTTTTGTTTCTTTCCAGTTTTTTAAAGAGAGAATAAAAGGACTCATTTGCTATTGTATTTTTAATTAAGCAAAACAAATAAAAAAAATGCAATGAAATATTTGATCCTCATTTTAAAGTACATTAACAATATTTTTGGACAAAAATCACAATTGAAGATAATATTTTCTAATAAATGAAATGTTATAAATAAAAATGTGAGGAAGAAAAAATTTAAGAATGCAAGTACAATAATGAATAAAAATTAATAATCTTTAATATATTTAAAATATATAATATATTTATATAAAAAGAAAAATGGTTTGAATATAACCTATGACCGAATACTGTTCTTATAAGGGTACAGAGATTAACTAATAGGGCTTCGGTGTTTATCTTTAAATACTTCCTTAAAATTTCAGTCGTTAGCTTTGATTTTTTTAAGACTAGTCATAGCTGAATGCTATAAAATTAATATTTAAAACAGTTAAAATATAAAAATATAAATAATACAAATTCTTCAAGTGAAATGAATTTTTGATTCAAATGAAATAAAAATTCGTTTGTAAAATTAATTTAAATAGTTAAGGAAGTCAATTGGAATAGTCCATATATGTACCTTTTTCATCTGACCTGAATCAAAATACCATCATTTCTTCAAATTTGCTTAATATGCATTGAATATATCAATTATTGAAATTATTTGCTATAGATACGCATTATGTCACCCCATTTACCTTTATGTATCTTAATATTCATTTAATAAATCAATCGAAAAAAATATAAAAATATATGTCTTTTGTTCCAAAAGAATTTTAATGAATTTTATTTACTATCCAGTCAAGTTGAATGAATATGTTAAATTTATATTGATCATAGCTAAATAATTAACAAAATAATTCATGATAATAGTGCTCAAATGATTAAATAAATCAAATACATATAGAAAAATGAAAAAGTAATGATTCTGGCAAATATGGTTAAATAAATCAAATACATATCGAAAAATGAAAAGTAAGATAATAAATGTGTCAAATGTACTTCACCATAAATAAATAATTGACAAAATAATTAATGATAATATTGTTTAAATGATAAATAAATTGAATATATATTAAAAATGAAAATTATGGTATTAAATAATTGAATTATAGTAATGATAGAATCATAAAATAAAAATAAAAAAATTATCAATTGATATGATAATTAATTTAATATATTATAGATGATAGATAAAGAACCTTGATTTTCCGAAGAAAAGGAGGAGAAAGAAAATAAAATAAAATAAATCCTCTATTAAACTCAAGGATATCCCGCCCAGCTTCAATAATGCAGAGAGGAAGAATCTTGTTGCATTGTCACTTAATGTGGTGGAGAATCTAGAATGGTGTTTAAGCCCGATGTGATGTAGTTAAAAATTTGATAAAATTTTTAGTGAAGTTAATAATTAATTTTAATTATCCATTCTGTGAGATTCATAATTTTTTGATCTTATATTTTATCAATTTTTAACAAAATCTACTAAAAAATTGATTTTTAAATATATAAAAAATGGGCTAAATATTAAAGTTACTCTTGTAAACTATATAGGGATACTGAAGATAGAAGTAGCGATTGTCGTCTTGTGAGATCATGCCTCATCCAAATTAAATAAGAGTCAACGTACATGTTGCACTATTCACATCACCTTGCCAAATATTAAGGAACGTATAGGAGCTACCATTTTGTTGGCTGACAATTGTTAGACTATAACCTTAGCTAACAATGTATCAACGACGATTGTAATCGACAATTGAGATTGTTACAACGTTTCCCGTTAACTTCAAAAAATATTGGGAAAACTAGAAAACGTGTTAGGGCCGTCATCCAACGATGCAAGAAGGACATGCACATACTCCACCGCTATCATAAATAGAGACATCATACGTTTTATTTTTGACGAAAAGAGAATACAGGTATGTTAAATCTTGAGCATGTACAACTACTTGGAGACATTTTCATTAATCAGAAAACACATACTTTTCATACATAAATGATTTTGAATAAATATTTCTAACCTCTATTAATGTACTTGTACTATTTAAATCATTACTGTTTAAAGAAAACATAGAAAGTCAATTGCCTAACAAGACCGCTAGCAACTACCCGCAGGCTGCTGCATCTTCCACTTCACAATACAAACGCTGTCCAGTTAAATTCTCTAAATTTTATATACAAAATACAAAGTGATACATTTTATAAGTCAAGAAGTGTTTATTTATTAGTTAAGTAGCAATTTGTTATATCAAGCAGTTGGCATTTAGTGGTTGTAACTACTGCTATTTCAACAAATCCGGAGGATAAATAGTTTATTTCTTTCAACCTTTGACTTTTTCTAATTAAGTTAGTAGAGAAAAAATAAACTTCGAGTTTTATTTGACAACGTACCAATACATGCACATAGTCCTGAAAATCTCAAGTCAAAAGTGTTGAAAGCACTTCATGAATGAAGGTCTAATTTTTTATATGTTGATCTATATTTTGATAATTAATTAATGTGAGATTTATCCCTTTGACACCCTCCTGCAAAATAGTTTTCATGTGTTTATTTGAGTTTTAATTAGATTGAATTGTTTGTTAGAGTTTAATTAGTTCTGATATTATATTAAGATTTGATGTTACATCTTCAAGAGGTTAAACCTGTTAAGAGTAACACAAACTATCATATATTGATCTATATATTGAAATTTATCCCTCGCACTAATGAATAAGTAAACTTCTGTTAGTATAGTGAGATTTCTAAGTCCCAATTAAGCACAAGTCATTGCAAAAATGATTTACCCGATATCATTCATGTCACTTGCACGATCAAGTATGTTTTAATCGACAATTTAACCTGAGGTCCATTCCATTTCAATTGTAAGAGAGAGCTTCACATGAACATACACAACACAAATCTATGCAAATCTTGCAATATTGTGATTTGGGGGTTAAGCCCTATTTGCTTTCTTTTTAAAACAAAATTATTTAATTTTTCATACTCATTTTTAACAACGTATTTATACAATTAAATATTTTGTCCGTAAATTCAAAACTTTTGCTTACCTTTCAATCATATATTCTTCAAAAATAAAATAAAATAATAATAATAATAATAAATAAATAAATCAATATTCAAAATATCATTTTCTCCCAAAATAATGGCAATTAAATAGGGACTAAATTAGAGATAGCTCTAGGTGAATATGTTCTAATTTGTGATCGTTTAACCTAAATTATTACTGGTCTAATAAATGGAATAGTCGAGCTTTGAAGTTCTAAACAATTCAAAAGTAGCTGCCTTTTCATCAATTTATGGCTCATCTCGTAAGACTTTTGAAAAGTGAAAAATTACTTTTAAGATTAAAAATTATATTATAAATATATTTGAATAATTTTTTAAAGTAATTTGTACGAGAAAAAGAGCTTTTAAAAGAAAGTATCATGAGATAACTTTCGTTCATTTGCACAATTCCCTTCAAAGGGTCACGCTGCGGAAGTGGGTCCGGAATCCCACTTCCAAGAGGAATCATTAAATCCAACTCTGGACAATTTTGAAATCCGAAAAACGACAAGGGAGAAGAAAAAGGCGTCACAATTCGCACCAATAGCCCATTGAGCCATCAGACCGACTATTTATAATTAATCGTACACTCGCTATCAAAAGTCTTTCCCACCAAAACCCATCGCCTATCCTTTTCTCTCAATTACCAGAATCTTAAGAACAAATAATCAAAATTCCATTTAAATTGTACTATTGATCTTGAAGCAACAGAAATGGAGGCCAACGAGTTTGATCTCTACCACGATTCAATTATTTGAAGCTGTAAGTAAATGCAGTCATTCTTTCTTTCAGCGGTTAAATTATTGTACTTTAACCTAATAGTTGAAGCATTTTTAGTGCTAAATTTATGGTTGATATTGCATTATTATTGTAATTTTCTGCCTTTGGTTATATAGAATATAAATCTAGCACAGTTGCTTGTTTAATTTCCTTTAGAACTGGATTTTCTATTGTTACTACCAAACATATATTCATTTCCTGCGTTTGAATGTCAAGAAATATAAATAAGAAAATTAGAACTCACAAATTACTAGTTTTGATATAATCTTGGGAGGAATTTTCTTTTGGAAATTTTTATACCTTAAGTTGATGTTCTATTGAAAAAGCTTTATTATTCGTAATCAATAGATTTTTTTTTCTTGGAAATTAACATAATTTATAGTTATAAATATCATTGAGAGTATATAGAGAGAAATCAGTTGTTTGACTCTAGAATCCTTTGGTGTTCAGGGAGTTCTAGTTTCCTGTGTTAGTCACTGTCTTTCCTTTATTTGTTGCCTTAATCATACAGGTGAAATTAATAATTTCTTTGTTTACACTTCTTATGTAGGTGCATACTGTCTTTTCCAACTTTGGTACTTCTAATCTATTCTACGAAAGCAACTGTTGGTGCTTTGACCTTGTTTCAGTTTGTAACTTTGATCCAGATCTGATTTGCTGCACAATACTTTCACTTGCAATTTCCTCCTCTATTGGTTATAAGATAATGGCTAAGTGGTTATCAGCGCGCTCTTTCATTAATGTCCTCCACCTTCAATAATCTTTTATAGCCAGTGATATCATATTACCAGTGATAGTAGAGGAAAGGTATAAAATGTTGGATTTATTGTCATTAAACCTTAAGGAACCACCAATAAAGCGAAGAGCTGGTCTATGGATCGTACAAGCAGGACGAGGATCATATCGGGGCAGTTAGTGAATGTTTTTGTGTCATCTGGTTGCTTATTTTATCCACTGGATATTTGTTTTTTCATAATAGTTTAATTTATGGGGATTACTTCCCTGAGGTCTTTCCTCCAAAGTCTCTGCTGCAATTCTCCATGGAATTATGCAGTGTTCTGGAAGCACAAGCATCAAGGTGAAATGTAAGCCAACCTCTAGCCCATTCTATTGCCACATTTAATAAATTCCACTCAATTTTACATTCACCTGTTTATTACACCGAAAAAGTAAAGTATGCAGACAACTTTTTATTTTCTTATATTATGAGATTATGTTAAGATATTCATTGTTTGTGCATATTCTATTATATGCTACATCATAAATGAGGATCATAACTTGTCACTGTATTGCAATTTCTAAATGACGAACTTCAATTTTGTTCTCTCTTTTTTTGTCTTCTCATTCTCACCAAGTGCCTCTTATCGTAAGTTTCTAAAGATCCTAATTAACAACTGAACTTCACTCTATGATTAAACTATTTCTTGAATGTTTTTATCATGCATGCCCAAAGGGGGATGAAGTATGATAGAAAAATCTAACAAGATTTGCCAACTTATAAGATCATTACCACAGCATATTAGTTCTTTCACGTGTCCTTTTAGCATGTTTTCTTACATTTTCAATTTTTCCCATGTATGTACATGCAGGCTGCATCATATCTGTGTCTTGAGTCCATGTCCTCACTTCTTTGATTCCGACCATGGAGAAAATTTTGGACGATTATTCTGCTAAATGCTGCATATAGAACATTTTTGAGTTATTCTTGAGTGAAAGTAACAAACTAAGATTAATTTAATCAAGGCGGGGCTTGCTGCTTGAATTTTTTATTTATTTTTTTCTTTTCTAGTGGTCCTTATTAGCGTTGGCTTGCCATTGTACTACAAGATGTAATTTTCACTTTAATCAAAATACCTTGTACACTTGCTTGTTGTATGGATTATAAACACTAATTCATTTCATATCAATTAAACATCAGTTTTAACTAATGTTTCAGGATATTGGTATGGGAAGATGGCTACTGTGACAATTGGAAGCTGAGAAATCTGATGGAGGGCACTGTAGATGGTTTCGACTTAGAAAACTCAAATGAGATATTATCCTCGGCTCATAAATCTAGTGTACCTCATGAAAATCCAAGTGAATATCCAATTTCTCTTGTAGATTCTGACATGTCAAAGGCATATCATGTATTTGGAAAGGGGTAAACTTTATACGCCATAGACTAGGAAGTTCTTTTTTTCTATTCAATTTTACAATTTTATTCATATTTACTATTACTTTAGTTTGTATGTGTAGTGCCTGTAGTCCTTTGATACTTTTGTGGTTCAACCTAAAACCCTTCGCCAGCCACCATGTTGGAATGTAGAGTTTTTAATTATTACATCACAAGTCAGTGAATCACTGAACTTAGTGAATCATGGAAGGATTATAACAACTTAGTCCAAAACCTTTGATGAGGAACTCCTTTCTACCTGGTTGCTTGTGTAGGTATTCAGTAAAACCTGCTATAATAGAGAACCAGGAAAATAGCTAGTTAAGTTGTGTTTGTAAGTTTATTTCAGCTGTACTCTTTACTTTTAAATCATATATTGTATCAACTAATTTGAGTTTTTAAAATGAATCAGAGCTGTCGGCGAGGCGGCATGTACTGGGAATCCTCGCTGGATTTATTCCAATAGCATGGGAACTGATGTATTTTGTTCTGCTTTAGTTGCTGAGGTGAGTCTCTGGATCAAAATCTGTGATTCGGCTTTACTTTTATGTTGTGCAAATATTAGAAAGAAGCCTTACCCTCACTAAATTCTATTAATAGTGTCCGCATGAATTGCTGCCTCAGATTTTGGCTGGCATAAAGGTTAGACAACCGAATACTCAGCTCAAATTATGGTGTCAGTTCATAATTTTTATCTGTGTGCACGTGACAGTTCATTATATTATACGAACCTTTGTATGATGTTCATGCAGACAATATTGCTTTTGCCAGTGCTTCCCCACGGAGTTCTACAGCTTGGATCAATGGAAATGGTTCGTATTTTTATTCTGATAATATCACTACTGGCACTTCTTTTGCATTTACGTATGTGCCTAATGGGGAAACCTTTCCCTCTGAAACTTTTGCCTTCTCTCTTTTCTTTTGGTTCTCTTGTTGCTTTGGGATTTTCAGATTTTCAGTTGTCATATGTGCAATTTTTATTTTCTCATTGATATATCAGGTAGCAGAAGATGCAGCAATAGGTGCTTATCTTAAATCTGAGTTTGAGACCCATAAAAAATTTGAGGCATGTGATGGAGAATCTCCAATTCAGCAGTTCTCGCTTTTATCTACTCTCATGGAGAATTTAGAGGAGAAAATGATCACTGACGTATATAAAATAAATGAAAATCAGAAGGCCATTATGGGTGCTAGTTCAATAGATCAAAACTTATCTACTGCAAATCAGATGATGCCAGTGCCAGTGTTTATGGTTCAAGATTTAAGTGGCTTGTCTGTAAAGGATGTCCCATATACTCTTGAAAATGTGATAGATGGCAAACTCAGCAGTCAATCATTAGGCATGGTTCACGCAGCTGAACCACAACTCAATTATCAATCACATGAAGATAACAAATCAACTATAACAGAGAGTAACATCTTCAATTCCTTTTGTCAGGAAGAAAACATCAGATCCTTCCCTTACAGTGATGCCTTTGATGTGACAATGTGCGGAGAATATATCAATGGCATTGCAGATTTTTACACTGAACGATGTGTAATTGTACCAACTATTTCTGCGTATGATTGTGACAACGGCATTTGTGAAAGTGGAGGTAACATTTTGAGCTTCCCCAGGGACTGTGAGCTGCACAAAGCACTTGGACCGGCAGTTGCAGGGAACCCCAGTCAATACCCATATGACTCGTCTATCTTGGGTCACAGTGTACCTAGCAACTCGACACTTGATAGTCATCTCACCCAAAGAATGGGATTTTCAGGGATTGGAACTCATGGATTTCCTGTAAAACAAGATGATATTGGACACCTTTTAGAAGATCTTGTTGTCGATGCTTGTGGTAACACTGATGATAATTCCTCCGATGACAGTTCATCGAACGAATTTAACTGTGCAAGCTCAATGAAGATGTCATCTGAATTTTTGGCTACCTGCAAAATACCTAGTCAATCCAAACCGGTAGCCTTAGCAGAAGAAGATCAAGTTCCTCGGAGCTTCGCAACATCTGCCTTTATGGCCAAGAGAAGGAATCCTGTAGCTTATTTGTCGCCTTCAGCATCTTCAATTGAAAGCACCATGAGTGTATTGACGCATGAGCAGCAGCAGAGGAAAGGACTGGGTTCCATGAACCTAGGTAAAGGAGTAAGCCTGTCAAGCACCAACAAGAGAAAGGTCCATGCTGGGGATAACCGGAGGCCTAGACCACGAGATAGACAGTTGATTCAAGATCGGATCAAGGAGCTGCGGGAGCTTGTCCCAAATGGTGCAAAAGTGCGTGCTACTGTATTTGTGCTTGGTGCCTTAAAATGCACCTTACTTTCATCTCTTCAATTAATTTCTTTTTTGGCTTTATTTTTTATTACGAATGCAGTGTAGCATTGATGGACTTCTAGATAGGACTGTAAAACACATGCTCTTCTTAAGAAGTGTATCTGAACGGGCTGATAAATTGAGGCAGCAAGCTCTGAAAGAGGTAAAATGTCAATCACCTCTGTGTGAAATTCCTTAAAGGACTATGTATCTGTAGAAGGTTTGTTTATATGAAATCATGTTTTATATTTCTTTTCTTTTTACTGTTAACTTGCAGAAATTATTCTTTGCGTAGATGTCAGGAAGAGAGAGAGGGGTAGGGGTGGTGCTATTATTTGTAACTGCATAAAAAACTCTAAGGGAGCATTTTGTTTGTGTTGTCTTGGTAAATGCGTTCATATTTCATTGATCATTCATCTTCGTGTCTTCATTTGTTACTTCTCTATAAATATATAAAAAAGATAGCTTGACCTCAGATTAAATTCTGGATCCAATTCTCTGCATTATCATGAAACGTGCCAAACCCACCATCTTGGTTACTGTGTATCAGTCTCTAGGAAAGAATATCTTAATTCTAAAATTGTTACCATCCCAAGTGCAAAAAGGAAGGAAAAATAATTAAAAATATCTTTCTGAACTCACATTGTTATATTTCTATTCCTTGGCAAGGGTTTGGATAAAGAACATGAATGGAAAGAAGGGAAAAAATGCCACCAGACTCTCTTATGAGCATAGATTGCTTTCTCTCACTTGACTCGTATCATTTTTCTTTATTTTAATTAAAATAAACAGGAATATGTTAAAATGCAGTTATTCATAGCTAAAGATCTCCTTGACAGGAAACTGATGAAAATATTCCTGAAGAACCTGAAGTTAACATTGACCATCAAAATGGGACAAGCTGGGCTATGGAATTAGGAAGTGAGCAACTGTACCCCATAGTTGTAAAAGATCTTGAGCACCCTGGACACATGCTTATAGAGGTATCTCTCATCATCTCACTATTGAGCCCATGGCTTTGAGCGTGCTAGGGTTTAGCAATTTTTCTCAACAATAATTTGAAGGACTCTTCTGAAGATCATTCTCATCTGCTTTGCTGTGGACCCAGTATGCTTATTTTTACTTGTTTATATTTGACCAGATGCTTTGTAATGACCATAGTCGCTTTCTGGAAATTGCTGATGTGATTTATCGTTTGCAACTAACTGTGCTTAAGGGTGTCATGGAAAGACGCAGCAACAATACATGGGCCTGCTTTGTTGTCGAGGTTTACATTACTCCCCATACTTGCGTCATAGAATTTATTTATATACACATGATAATTATGCCTGCATGCATTCAATAACTTAAAACATATTCATGCTTTTTTTTTTTTTTTTTGTTGCCCATATACTGCATGTATTATACTTTAGCGAATGATTATTCCTAATGATTCAAAAGTGAAGAGAATAGAAAGCAGTTTGGCTGAAGTATTTATCTACGAGTATAGACCAACTGTACATCTAGTGAATTGGGCATTATCTTGAGCCAAAATCCACGTGTCATAAAATACCTATATTTATACTTCTAAAATATTCTCTATTCTAGTCTTCTGTATTAGTTACTGAAGATTCACGCAACAAGAATCTCAGTTTAGAGGAAACATTAACATGAGAAACAAGGACATTGACTTCATCATATTTGATAGCTGGAAAAATTTCTGAAAACAAATAGGCAAGTTCCTGATTATTGGAAAAGACACATTTCTTAGGTAAAGATATAGTTTTTGAATGGAGAGAATGAAAAACATTACGACATTGTCTCTAAACCATGGCTGGTGAATAAGGGGATCTTTTTAATGTTTTTCTGGGTAAAATTGTCTAAGGCTATTCAGAAGATGATTTTGTTTCATTCATTTGATCTTACAGACAGGGAAAAACTGTTGAGAAAGTAGAAAAACTGGTTTAGACAACCGGAGAGTAGAAATGCTAACTTCAAAAAAGTATGGTAAAATACTCATAAAGGATAAGCTGCTTGTGCCTGGTAACTTGCATTGAAATAAAATTTTCCATAACTACATATACTGCCTACAGAATAGGCACCAAACTTTTTCCTTTTCCTCTAGAGCTTAACTGTGGATTATTGAGAAGCGCATAGTGGCCACACTGTGTTTAGTTGTGTATTTTATTGATAATAGCTGCTGATTTTGGATGTGAGATCAATTTTTGATTGGATATTTTCTTATTAATATTGATATTTACTTTCTTGCAAGATGAAAATTGCAGTGTTATTTTGTATGCAGTGATGATATAAGGGTTTTATGATATTTTATAGTGTTGCTGAAACTATTAATAAAAGTGAACTACAAAAGTTCCAATATATATACATTATTGGACTGTTATTATGGACCTTGAATAACAGTCCGGAAGATCTCATGGACTGGTTCCAACAGTTCATCACAGAAGAAAGGACTCACTAAGCCTTCTTACGATATTCTGTAGTGTTGCTGAAACTATTAACAAAAGTGAACTACTACACTTCCTTTGGTAGATCTATTGAAAACGGCAATATATAACATTTGACTTCTATCTTAATCATTTATTTATGATGAATTGTACCTTTGACTTGAACTACAGCAATTCCCTTGGTTTGCCAATTATGATGAAGTGCTACCTCTAGGGTTCTTCATTTTTCATTACCTTTCCACCTCAGATTATTTTGTCCGGTCTAGTATTTATCCTGGTTTAATATCGCTTGCAATGCAGGCCACAAGAAACTTTCATCGTCTGGATATCTTCTGGCCTTTGATGCAGCTTCTGCAACAAAATCAGACAGCGAGCTCGAGCAAAATCTAAACTGTATGAATATGTTTATATTCTAGTGTCATGTCATGTGTACACAACAATCTCAAATTCAACCGCCTGTCAATATTTTTATTTTTATTGGAATAATTAGCAATTGGTAACAATGAAAATTGCTGATGCTCTACTATATACTATTTAGTAATCATAGACCCAATGTAACATTTTTAGCCATTTTATTTTTGACAGGAAAAACTAGAAACATATTTTATACACACTTAAAAACACTATCAAACAAACATTCCTAAATATATAGTCTACCTCTTATGTATAGCGGAAGTTAATCTGGCATTTGGGACATCTCTCACGCCATAAGTATACTCTTTTCTTAAAGAAAAATGATCTATTACACACTTCACAAAATAAAAAATAGAGAAAGGCTGAACGTGCTATCTCTCCACTCTCTCCAATCTTTCTCATTCTAAAGTCTTTGAGAGTTTCTTCACATAATTTCCAACTGGGACAATGGTTCAAGAACAGGAGCGTCAATTCCTGAAACTATATAAAAAAAGCGAACAACTACAATTCCCTTGGTAGTAAATCTATCGAAAACGACAATATACAGCATTTGACTTCCACCTTCATCATCTATTAGCCATTATGAGTAATTAATCCAAGTATGAGCAGTACTAGTATCAACAACATATATCAATGAAAATTGCTGATGCGCTAGTATATATACTACATATTTAGTAACCTTGGACCCAATGTAACATTTTTAGCCATGTTACTTTCAACAGGAAAAACTAGAAACATTGTTATATGCTAAAAGTTTATTAAATTACACGACATTGTTATGGAAAAGCATTCACTGTGACTCCACCATCTACATAGATAACTTGTCCAGTAATATAAGAAGCAGCAGGGAAACATAGGAATGCCACCATGGAAGAAACTTCGCTAGGCTGTCCAGGGCGGCCCAGAGGAGTTCGAGCAATTAAGCCTTCAATTAGTTGCTTTGAATCAGGACTAGGCTGCAATAAACAGAACTATTGATATCATAAAATAGAAACGGCAAATTGTGAAGCTAATGTACACAATATATATGCATTTACAGTTAAGGCTTCGATCAAGGATGTTTCAATTATCCATGGCGCGACTGCATTAACACGAATGTTATCCTTCGCCCATTCACAAGCCAAGTTCTTTGTTACCTGATTCATTGCTCCTACACAAAAGTTGAACAGCAAAATCACTTTGCAGTAGTTAAATTTTGATTTATACTACAATTGTTTGCTGCTACCTTTAGATGCTGCATACAGAGAAGCAGAAGGAACTGACATAAGTCCGCCCACAGAAGAGATAAACACAATGCTTCCACTACCTGCTGCCTTGAGAAATGGGTGTGCAAGTTGACACAAATGATAAGAAGCCTCAAAATTTGTACCCATTATTAGTGAGAAATCTTCAGCTGTGTAATCTGTGGCTTGCTTGAGTCAACTTGTACCGGCATTGTTAACCTTAAAAATCGATGTATTCATTTCAGAAATGTCACACCACAAAACAAAGTATACAATAAAAAGAGGACAAACTAACCAAGATATTGATCTTCCCATCGAAATAAATGGAAACAGCCTCCATCAGCTTATCTCGTTGGGTTCTTATTGATAAGTCACACACAGACCCTGCTACTCGAAAGCCCTTGCGCTTCCAATCTTCTAAACATTCATCTAACTCTTTTTTATTACGAGAACATGTATATACGGGAGCTCCAAAATGTGCAAATTCTTCTACGATGGCATGCCTATAAAATATCGAGTCAGATGAGCACCTTTTAAGCTTAGTGTTAGTAGTTGTATATGAGACTAAATTTAAGTCACATACCCTATGCCTCGAGTACCGCCTGTGACGAGGGCAGACATGCCCTTCAGAGACCACCTTGCATCAACACCTCCTACTTCTATTTGTTCCATTTGAATGTTGTTCAACACAGGCAGCCTAATTGTATCTGTTTCACATCGACCAGTTATTTACACCAGTTGTGTTACATGGTTTACATGACCAGTTATTTACATAATTGTATCTGTTTATATACTTGTGATGTGTTGAGATATGAATGGATCGGAATTTCTTCGACTAACCCAAAAAAAATAATAAATAAATAAATAAATAACTTTCCCATTCTCTTTTTGACCCCTCATCTCATCTATATAAACTATTATATAACTCCTTAACTATAAGTAGCATCATTCTATTTACACAAGTATACAATACAAAAGCTTTTAGATCATGGATGTTAGTTCGTAATTTTCATTTGTAAAATTATGAAGATATTCCTAAGAAAGACGAAAGGGATCTCCTTGAAGATCAGAATTGTCAAGTCTTCACGTTAGAAATCATATCAAAAAACTAAATTAATTAAAAAGTAAATATATAAATTTATTTATTTTTGTTACAGTGTCTCCTACTTCTCAGATGTATTGTAGATTAATATTTTAATTGCCGGACGTTGAAATTATACAAATAAGTAAATTCCGAGACCTGAAATTGGCAATATTCTAATTATGCAAAAGATTATCGAAAGCTTACCACAGATAGACCGCGGCCGGCGGCAGCGTTCCCGGTCTGGTTCTCAGAGTGTCTATTGTGGACTGAAGATTGTGTGATGGCGGAGAAATTGAGACTTTAGAAAAGTCGTGAGCTATTTGAGCATGAAGGAATGAGATAAAATGGCCACATTGCAATGTCTTTTTGCTCAAATGGCGTTTGACCAAATACTTTAAAAACAAAAGGAAACATAATTATTTAAAAATGTGAAAATACCACTTTATCCCTCTCATGTAAAATTAAATTTAAAAAAATAAATAAATTGAAAATTGAAAAATGTCTTGTCCTTCAAATTCTAGAGCCATTCTCTCTCAAATTAAAATTTTAAAATATTTTCTCCTTCAAATTCCAAAAAACCGTTTTCTCCTTCACTTTAAAAATCATATTTTTCCAAATTAGGGGGTGTCTTCAATCTAGAATTTGATGGATTTTAAAACTCTATATAAATTGAAGTATCCTCAATTCAGATTTAAATATAATTCATTAAAATATAGGTGTCCCCAATCTAGATTTTTAAAAATACTTATAAATTTAGGTGTCCTCAACATAAATTTTAATAGATAGTTTTGAAATTTAGACTTCCTCAATAATTAGTTGATTTTAAAAGATTTCATTAAGTAGATAGATTTTGATAGATTTTGAAGGATTTCAAGGTAAAAATAAGTACAAAGAATCAGTAACAATTTTAACTCAAACATAAAAATTTCACAACTTTTCTCACCTCTCTCCATATTTGATGCCCTCTCTCTCTCTCTCTCTCTCCCCCCCCATCTTGAACAAAATTTTCTTCTTCTTTTATCTCACATTTCTTTATTGTGAAAAGATCGTGTATGAGAACTTTTCAATTGATGATAATTTATGAAAGATTACTATTTTTTGTTGAATATTGGATGTGATTTTTTATTGAACTTATTTTTTCTTATTGAAGCTATATATTGTTTACTATTTTATAGATGTGCTGGAAATTATCATAGTAATTTACGATTTCTAGTATGCATACTGGAACAACTTCGTTTTTCAAGTTCTGTACCCTATTCCTTTTTCTTGGGAAAGAGCTGTGTGTTTTCTATATATACCTGCAAATCCTAGCCAAAACATATGAGGATGGTATCCCACAATTTTTTCTTTTGTGTCTGCATGATTGATGAGAATTTTGGAGGTATGAAATTAATTGCATTGTGGTCATGTATGTGTACATCTGTGTGTTTGTATCTCACAAGGTTGTGGCCTTTTGAACTAATTCATATTGATTACGACTTTGATTGTTTAACACTACATATTTTTGTCCTCTCCCACTCTCGCATTTTGTTGAATATTGGGTGTATTTTTTTATTGAAACTCTGTTATAATATTCAATGTTTAACAAATAATTGAATAAGGATTCGATCATTTTCTGGGATTTATTAACGTGCATATGTGTAAGAATGAGTCGTTAAAGAAAAAGTAAAAATTTGTGGCTTATGTTAAGCATATTTATAAATTTTACCTAGAAACTATAAAATTCATTGAAACTATAAAATCCAGGAAAATCTTTTAAAATCTACAAAATAGAAATCCATTCAAATCTTATGAAATTTATTAAATTCTATCAAATTTCACACAATCCATGCTTGAAAATGCTAACTGGGGAGATATTGGTGCTCTGTAAGTATTTTTTATTACCATTTCATTCTATCATACAATATGTTGGAATGCTTAAGATATTTATCGAAGATTTGGTAGACGACCATAGTTTTCGTTCTCAAGCTAGAAGGATTGTTTTTTCTATTTCATTTAATGTTTAGATGATGTCCTGTAATTATCTTGTTTTGTTTGTTTAGAGTAGTCGGTGTTTTGAGAATGTTGTGTAGCTACTTTAATTGTTTGTATAGACCATTGATGTTTTGAGGATGTCGTGCAGCTATTATCTAATGCATTTGCAACTTGGTGATTTGATGATGTTGAATTAATTGATGTTTACAATATTTTTTAGGCTATTGAAACTTTCAAGTGTAAATATCATAAATGTCTAGGATACTAATATCGCTCCAAATTAATAAAATATGACAAAATTGTTGTTTCACGTAACAACATAAACTGCGTTTCTCAAACACAAAATGATATTGATATCGTTCCAGTATAAAAATGCACTAATTCAAATAATGACATTGAAATCGTTATTGAGACACAAAACGATATTTATATCGTTCCAGTACAAAGACACATGTTTATAGATTTTCATAACATTGAAATCGTTATAGACTAATAAAACGATATATAAATCGTTATACAAAAAAACTTGCACAGTGCGCACAACATATGGAGTCGTGCCCATGCGTCTAAGGGATCAAACTTCCAACTTTGTTACATTGGTAACGACATAGAAGTCATTATGGCTCTATATACGACATCGAAGTCGTTCTTCAAATAGGGCACAAGCCCGGTATACGCTAAGGTGCGCGCCTACTGTAATTGGTTATTCGAAATTAATTGCATTGTGGTCATGTATGTGTACATCTGTGTGTTTGTATCTCACAAGGTTGTGGCCTTTTGAACTAATTCATATTGATTACGACTTTGATTGTTTAACACTACATATTTTTGTCCTCTCCCACTCTCGCATTTTGTTGAATATTGGGTGTATTTTT